AGGGGCCCTTGGAAGTACAGAGCCAAGCACGTGGAAGCCAGGAGACCCATCTCGGGAGAGGAGCCCTCAGAAGGGAGTGGGGACAGACCCCCCAGGTGAGGCAAAGCCACCGAGCACAGGCTGAAGACACGGGAGCAGAGAGCTGCCCGCACACGGGGCTGCAGCCAGACACAGAGCCCTCACGAGCCCTGCCCACCCAGGCACCGGCCCAGTCCTCACCTCTGCACTCTGTTCCTCAGAGGAGTCATCATGGTCCTGCTTGCCCTCCTGGCTGCCATACTCGCGAGGATATGAGCGGTAATCCATGTCCCGGTAGTCATGGTCACGGCTCCGGTTCTCCCCACCATCATCCTGTGAGCGGTCAGTGGCTCCATAGCGGCCAGTCCTGTCGCCACGGCCACCTCTGAGGGAAGAAGGATTGGGAGGGATGAGAGGATGGTCCTTTCTGAAATGTGCAAGGCAAGGGTAACCCCTGCCCACTCTTTCAGTCCTACCCTCAGACAGGGATTCCTAAACTCTTATCCCATAGGGACAGTGGACTCCTGTACCCTAGCCCATGCCTCAAGATTCCGTCACAGGAGCCTCAGGTGTGGCTAACTGACTGGTCTGTCTACTCATCTCCACCCCAGCTTCCCCAGTTCTTTATAGCTCCAATTCCAGTGTGGGCATTCTCGAAGGCAAAGCCAGTCAAAGCCAACGATGCCTCTTGCTGCAGCGGCTCCCAACTAATCTCAGGACAGAATGACGATAAGCTCACCAATGCCCCATGAGGCCTGCAGGGCTCTGAGGAGCAAGGCCACCACCTCTCCTTCTCTGCCCGTTTCATGATCACCTCACTAGTACTGACAGCTCTTTGTTACAATTTTCCCAACAGTAATAAATGTAAAATAGGGGCTGGCAGGGGGGCGTAGTGGTTGGGTGCTGGACTCCCACATGGCTGATTGCAGTCTGAGTCTCGGACCTGGCGGCTTGCTTTCTTACTGTCCCCCCACCCGTCCCTCTCCAGTCAAATTATAAAAATATGGATATGTTAACTAATTTGATTTTTTGGGACCAGCAGTTAGCATAATGGCTATGTCGCTGGACTCCCACGTAGTCGCCTGTGGTTCGCGTCCCGGACCCGGTGGCTTAAAACTCATGCCGGGCATGTGTGTGTGTGTGCCAAAGTTCCCGAGAGGAGAATGGAGGAGAAGGGATTGCGGTGTGGCCATTCCCCCTGGGGGGTGATTTCTCGCTTTCTGTCTCTATATCTCTCTCTGTCTGTCTGGCGAGTGCACGTGCACTATGGCAAAAAACCTCTCCAAAAAAAAAAAAAGTTAAATAATTCTTAAAAAATTATAAAATAATTATCTCAAAGATGACTTAATTTGAATTTCTTTGATGAATTAAAAATCACTATTATGAGGGAAATGAGAGAACCAGGTCTGCTTGGCTCACTACCATATTCCCCAGGGTTTAGCCTATTAGCCTAGTTCTTTGCACTCAGTAGGTGCTCAACAATGATCCTGGGGATAAAAATGACTTAAAAAAATATACTAAGGTCAACCCCATGGCCTAGAAGTTAAGGGAGTGGGATCCTACATAGCCAACTGTGATTTGAATCCCAGACCCAAAAGCTTGATAATGCACTGGGTGCACATATGTGTGCCTCAAAATCCCAACAGGATGGAGAAACAGAGAAGGAATTGTGGTGTGATCACGTCCCACTAGGGGGCTTTCTCCCTCTCCTCTCTTTGGTGAATGCATATGCCTTCTGATAATAATAAAAATAATAATAAAACAATATCAAAAGTGTTCTAAAAGCAACCAATACAGATTCACTTAAAAAAAAGGAGGGGGGGCAATGGGTGGCGTGGTAGTTAAGGTGCTGGGTCCCACATAGCTGACTGTGGTCTGAGTCCTAAACCTGGAAGCTTGAAAATCATGCCAGGCACATGCGTGTGTGTGCTCAAAATCCCAGGAGGAGAATGGAGAAGGGACTGTAGCACAGCCATTCCCCCTGGGAGGTAATTTCTCACTTTCTCTTTGTCTCTCTGTAGGGCGCATGCACCCTACAGTAAAAAACTTACAAAAAAATTAAAAAACATAGGTAAAAAGCAAGACAAAACATACTATACACAAATGTTATTAGTAGGATTCCAATTCTGGTCTGAACAATATCAGCATGTCCATTATTGATGTCATTGTCAACATTATTTTTTTTTAAGAATTATTTTATTTAACATTTTTATTACTTTGAATAGTTCGAGAGAGAGAAAGAAGAAAAGCAAGAAAGCAAGCCTCCAGGTCCAGGACTTGAACCATGGTTGGCCATGTGGGAGTTCAGTGCCTTTAACCACCATGCCACCTGCCAGCCCCCCTTTATCTTTAAAATAATTACTTTAGGGACCAGCAGGTGGCATGGTGGTTAAGGCACTGTACCCCACATGGCCAACCATGATTCAAGTCCTGGACCTGGAGGCTTTCTTTCTCATTTTCCACTCGCTCTCTCTTTCTCTCTCTCTCTCTGGGGAGTGCAGGTGCTCTATAGCAAATTAAAAAATAGCAATAATCTTTTAAAAGATTTATTTATTATTATTTTAAAATTTGCTACATGCTACCCTTGCTCTTCAGAGAGAAAGAGAAGGAAACTGAGAAAGTTAAGAACTATTATTATTACTTTTAAAATTTGCTATAAGGCACCTGTGCTCACGGGGGGTGGGGTAGGGGGGTGAAAAAGCTGCCAGATCTGGGACTCAAACTGTGGATGGCCATGTAGGAGTCCAAAACCCTAACCACCAGACTACCTAAAAGTGATTTCTCATTTTCCTTCTCTTTATCTCTCACTGTCTCTCTCTGCAGTGAATGCATGCACACTTTGGC